TAAATAATAATATTTAAACTTATACAAAGGAGCCTAGATTAATTACCCTAGCATTCACGATCCGAATTACATTTCTCTTTCTTATACTTAATCATACACACCAATTTTGTCATATTGGACTCCAAGAACTCTACCCAAGCTAATTATTGTTTTCCCAAGTTTTGTAAGTGAGAACGAATTTCTATGAGTTTTTCTTGCATTTACCCTACTTTATCATCCACGATCTGGGTTGCATTTCTCTTTCTTATACTCAAGCATATACACCAATCTTGTCATATTGGACTCCAAGAATCCTACCCAAGCTTATTATTGCTTCTCCAAGTTTTGTAAGTGAGGACGAAGTTCCTATGAGTTTTTTTTTTCTACATCTACACTACTTATCCAGGTTGCATTTCTCTTTCTTATACTCAAGCATACACACCAATCTTGTCATATTGGACTCCAATAACCCTACACAAGTTTATTATTGATGCCACAAGTTTTGTAAGTGAGGACGAAGTCCCTATGAGTTTTTTTTTTTGCATCTACTCTACTATAACATCACGATCTAGGTTGCATTCTCTTTCTTATACTCAAGCATACACACCAATCTTGTCATATTGGACTCTAAGGTCATACGCAATGGCGTACTCGATACACAGGTGTAAGTAATAAAATAACATGTTTTATTGCAAAAGTTGTCTGAGAATCGAAATAAGGGTGTGAACTTACACCCCGGTTGTAAGTCCCACGTGACAAAATCTATCTCTCACTCTCTCCTCTCTCTTTCTCCACTAATAACCAAATCTCTCTCTCTCTTAAAAAAAAATAATAATAAATATATTATCAACATCTCTTTAAGAGATGTTGCACTGCGTATGCTCTAAGAATCCTACCCAAGCTTATTATTGCATCCCCAAGTTTTGTAAGTAAGGATAAAGTCTCTAGCAGAGCAAACCCACTAAACTACTCCTTAACTTTCGCCGCAAGACGCAACAACTACCACGAACAACCGAGCCGTGAAAGTCCACCACGAAACCTCTAGCGTCCTTGACCAGAGGATGAATCGACCAGGAACAACTCACTCTGCAGTGATTTTGCCACAGATGCATCGAGGAGGGAAAATCTACGCCCAAACTCTACCGGAGAAGAAGTATGCACACTCTCGTTTCTTCGAGAAGCTCCATTGGTCGTGATAAAGACCAAAGTAAACTAAAAGGGAAGGGGAGGGAGAGGAGCAGACGCACACCGGAGAATAAACCGGCCGCCGGTAAGACTCCTCTCCCAGGTTTGTTTGCCTTTCAAAGGCTTTTTTTCTATGTTGTTTACTTGTTTTGTGGAAAAAACTATAGAAATATTCTAAATAAAATTACTTATTTAAATATAAAGATAGTTATAGATACATGGAACATCATAGACTAGAATATATCCTTGGATATATCTAAAACCTGAAAGGATACAAAGTTCCTAAAATATAACAAGAAAAAGAGAGTTGGATAGATTGATGCAACAATTACAAGTCAATCTTGGAGCATATAATTCATCAGAAGTGCTTAGTGCTTTCCTTTTGCCTCCCTTAAGAAGTGTACCTTATTGGATTTGGGCCAAACTTGGAACATAATTCAGAAGAACTGAGCAAGATGGTCTTGACGTAGAATCACTACCATGATCATCCACATATTGTATATGATTATTTTCTCCCACAATGTGTAATATCCGGTTACGGCAATACACTACAACTTTGTTATGCTCATCGGCCAAGAAACTCATCCCACTAGGAAACATATCCCAACGCGGATTATTGGTTTGTACTTTTAAGAACTTGCTCCATGACATGACTGATCCGATACTAGTTGTCACCCATATATGTAAATGTAAGTCTTGTGAACCTAACAGACAGAGTTTCTCTTCTCTAACCACTGATAAAGCTGCAATCACAGAAGGAAACGGCTGAGGAAGAGATAGACTTTGAAATTTCTCTCTTGAAAAATCAAAACTTAGTAAGACTTTATTATATGGCCACCCCGTACAATAAACAACCCAATAAGTATTTCCTTTCATAGACACAGGATTATTTTGTCCGAAAATCCATTCGGTAGCCGCACCGAGAACCCTCCAAGAATCATTGGTAAAGTCATAGATTTCGTACTCACCAAGAACAGGACCTTCACGATCCATCCTCAAGACTTTGTATTTCTTGCAGGAGGATTTGTCGTCGTAACCAAGAGCATAAAAGTCTAATTCCTTGTAGTAGTTGTGTCTAGGTTTAATCAACTTGGTTTCTCCTGAACATGGATTCCAAACCTCAAGTCTATTCTCCTTAATGGTGCATAGCAATAACAAGCCGTCACAGTGAAAGACGTTACAAATGTGCGGATCTTTAAGGTATAATCGAGAACCTAACTCAATAGATGGAGCAACGTTGTTGTGAACTCCATGGAGATTGACACTCGCTAAGTAAACCCTAGAATCCTTCACATGATAATCAGAGACTCTGTTGGTGCATTAGCAGAGTGTATCCTAGCAAAGCTCCCAGATTTCAAGAGAGCGTTCCATTGTTTCGATGTTGAACGCAATCGTGCCAGAGATTTTGCCGGAACCCTAGAAAGTATCTCTTCTTGCAATTCCACCGGAAGGCTTCTCCACTCCATATTTGAGTGGTGATTAAATCAAAATTTGAGATGAAGAGCGATAAAGAGAGAGAGAGAGAGAGCAAGCCAGCCCAAGCTAATATATCACGGTTTTCTTCTTTAATTGAGCCAAGAGAGACAATTTTTTATTTTTGCAATAATTAATGCATGCAAATACCGTATTGAATTAAAGATTTGGGAGGATTTAATGATTTTCTCAAATGTTTTAATAAAAACCATATCTTATTGGATATATCATTTGTTAAATTTATTAGAAATCTAGTAGTATTAGATTTGTCATTTATAAAAGTTTTATCAAATTTCACCTTATTAGAATACAAAGATTTTGTTAATAAATTATATCAAAAATAATCTGGAACGATTTGACAGACAAATTACAATAAGTAGTGAGTAAGAACGAATCTCCATGAAATTCACAACAATATTTCTCCATATGTTAAGGTAGCATCCCAAATATACCTTAAAGATCCACAGTTTAAATATTCAAAATTCTATATATGTAACATCTTTCATTGCGACTACTAGAAGAAAGACTTGACAAATATCTCAGTCAACTATCATCAATCATCCCCTCAAAGATGGAGATATCGCAGCACGATAGAATACTTAACTTTTGGGACCTCCAAGAAGTGTAGCTTGTTGGATTGGGGATAAACTTGGAACATAATTCATAAGAATCGAGAAATATGATTGACTCTGCATAGAATCTCTACCATGAGGATTCAATTATTTTCTCCCATAACGTGTAAGATTTTGTTGTGGATCCAGTTATTGCAACACACTACAACTTTGTTCTTCACGTCAGCCAAGAAACTCATCCCATAAAAAAACTTATCAATACTCGAGTGAACGTCTTGCACTGTTAGGAACTTGCTCCATGACATGACTGATCCGATACTTCTCGTGACCCATACATGTAAATCATATGAATTTGTGCCGTCTTTAACATAACTTAACACACAAAGTTGCTCTTCTCGAACCACTGATAAAGCCAGATGAAAATAAGGATACAGCTGAGGTAAAGAGAGACTTTGAAATCTCTCAGTTGAGAAATCAAAACTTAGTAAGATTTTATGATATTGACCTAGCAACCTCTTACAATTAACAGCAAACCAATAAGCATTTCCTTTCACAGACACGCCGTTTTGAGCTCGTGTTAAAAACCAATCGGTAATCTCACCAACAACACTCCAAGAATCAGAGGTGAAGTCATAGATTTCGCACACTCTGTTGCTTGGAGAAACGACATCGATTTGACTAACCACCCTCAAGATTTTGTATTGCTTGCATGATGATTTTTTGTGGTAACCGAGAGCATAATGATCGAAATCCTCGTAGCTGTTTCTAGGTTTAATCCAAAAGGCTTCCCCTGAACATGGATTCCAAACCACGAGTCTCCTGTCCCTGGTGGTGCATAGCAATAACCCGTCGCAATGAAAGATGTGACGTATATCGACTTGTGAAAAATTAGAAAAGGGATCTTTAAGGTACAATGGAGCTGCTGGAGAAACGTTGTGAATTCCATGGAGATTGGCCCTTACTACGTAAACCCTATAATCAATCAACAAGATAACCAGATACTCCTTTGGTGCATTAGCAGAGTGCTTCTTAGCAAAGCTCCCAGTTTTTAATAGAGTGTTCCACTGTTTCGATGTTGATCGCAATCGTGTCAAAGATTTAGCGGGAACCCTAGAAAGTATCTCTTCTTGCAATTCCACCGGAAGGCTTCTCCACTCCATAGCGACTTGTGATTAAGGGGGTGTTATTCAATGGTGGAGTTAAAGTCAATTCTTTAAGGTTTAGATTTGCTTTCTGATATTGGTTTTAAGAATCTGTTTGTGTGGATTTCAAAATCTCTGCAGTATATCTTGGATTTTGATTCTAATAATTTACTCATGAAACTCCAAAGAGGTTTCATTTGAAATGACTTAATATACAAAGATTTTACAAGTCTTTTAGTTTTGAATAACACTGGATTTTACAAACCTTAAAGAATTGACTTTAACTCCACCATTGAATAACACCAAACTTTTAAAATCTAATGAAGTATAAGATCTAATAACACCAGATTTTAACGTTAGATTTATAATCATTAATTGAATAACACTGGATTAGTGTTGGATTTCAATTCTATTAAAATCCATCAATGAATAACACCACCTAAATAACTTTGTCAAACAATATCAAATTCTGTAATTAGAATATGAGAGTGAGAGATGGAGAGAGAGCAAGCCAACCCAAGCTTGCGAGCAAATAGAGCAGAGAGCTCACCCTTTCTTTCTATGAGAGTCGCAAGTTAGCTAGAAAGACCTAACCCTTATTACTGTATATCTTGGTTTTCTATTTTTTTAAAATTTAGCCAAGAAAGACAATTTAACATTTTTGCGCTAAGAAGTACCTAATAATGCAAATACCAATTTGCAAAACTTCTTAAAACAACAAGAATTTTAAGGAACGGGTTGACAAAAATATCTTAAAAACAGAACTTGTCATTAGGGGTACTCTTCTCTGTTAACTAACCATCATCAATAATCTGCTCCAAGATGAGATATTGCAGCGCGATCGAATACTTGGCGCTTTTCTCGGATGTACCATTACTTGTCAAGAGAAACGATCCATCACCATGACCTTCATCACAACAAATGGATATCACAAAAAAAGCATCGCAAAATGTTGTAATGTTTATATGAATCAGGGAAAACAAAAAAACACAAAACCTTTTATCGTAAAGATCTTCGGGATCCATCGTTTGTATATAAACAACGACCTCGGGGAGTCTCCATGGTTAGTCTCAGATAAGACAAGCTCACAAAAAGCTTTCCTACTAAAAACAACACTCAGCATTTTGCAAAACACTAGTCATGGAAAAATGAAAAAAGGTTCACTCACTTAGCATCAGCTATAGCATTGTGGCATAGAGCAAGAGTCCGAACCATCGCCATGTCTCTAGCCCGAGAATTCATCATCGAGTTCCTAATCGAAGAACTCAAGTCATGAATTCACTATCATCATCATCATCATCATCACATCATATAATGGATTTGAGCTTACAATTGACTAAAGTAATCGCCGAAATCATCGATTATAACCGCATTTGGAAAATCATCAACATGATGAAGATGAAACGCAGCAAAGTATTTCCTGATTCCTTCATCATCATCCACATATCTTCAATCACAAAAATCAAATCATTCGCTAATTAAGCTAAGTAAATTCGTTTTCAAAATTGGTTTGTGTTCTTACTTCATCTGAATTCGATTGAATACATCAGAGGAAGAATCGATTCCCTGAGAAGAATTTGAGTCTAAGATTCCATAAAACACCTCCATATCAAAATCTAACAGAGGAAGATGCGAAAGGTACCTGAGAGAGAAACGGAGGATTGGATTCAATTCTTTTCCGGTGACAGATGAAGACGACACGAGTGGTTGTAGAAGCACTCGCTATATTGAGAGCGAATTGGAAGAGTAGAGAGGTTTTGCCTCTGTAGAGAAGAACAATGAGTCATGAGAGAGACAGAGCAAAGAGAGAATCGATTTTAAGGGAAGCGTCGGAGGAAGAAAGATACGACGAAATTGGACCGGAGAGGAGAGTGAGTTTATCCCGCCGGCGATTTCCGTCGCAGGAGCTCCGCTTCGTCGGGAAAAATCTCTCCACCATTTTGTATCAAAGGGAAACTGAAGCGTCAACAATTAAACCAAGCTCTTAAACCGGAAAAAATTATTGGTTCGGTTAAATTAGGACACGGCAAATTTCGAGTTGGTTAAGGGTAAAATTATTGGTTAAGAATTGGGAACCGAATTCACAATTTCGGTTTGGTTATCTATAACAAACCATGAAACAATGGAGTGAAATTTTTTTTTTTTTTTTTTTTTTTTTTTTTTTTTTTTTTAGTTCTCTGTTCTTACAAATTTCTAACTACAAGTTTCTTCTATAAACAAAGATACTTTAGTGTAGAAGATTCTTCATGGGATCATCCTGATGCATCCGGTACGCTTCCATCTCTTCCGGCATAACCTGGAATTTCATAAAATTAGTTAATCTAAAACATAGTTTAGCTCTAGAATCATTGGTACTATGAAATATAAACATATATACATACCAAATCATCCCACTAGACATTGTATTTCCGTTTTCTTTCGTCTTTCTCATATCTTATTCTCTCATCCTCCTGTCGCGAAACCTGCAACATCAAAAGGACCAAAATTGTTATTGATATTCATACATTCTTTTTTTTTTTTTGTTAAAAATATTCATACATTCTTGAGAGTTTCTTCTGGTCAAGAACCAAATCTTTATGTATTTCACTTCCCCAAGTGGCGAATCTTTTCTCCTCTACTGGACTAGGCATTTCTGCAAATCACACTCATAGGTAAACGCTATGAGTTTCATCGAAGAAATCTCATTTGTAGAAGGTGATGCCAAAAGTAACCTTTCTCCATAAGGGTTTGCTGAAAATTACAATACGAAGTTAATTTAACAGTATCTAAAAGTTTAATAACAATTAAATCATATTATTATCTTGAGTATATATAGTAAAGGACAACATCTAGTTTAAAAGTAAATCAATAGTTATAGATATTTTTTTGTCAACAATATGCGGGGTTAAATTTGGATGATGACACATCGACGTCATTAACGTATAAAGTATAAACTACAAATCATGTTTCGAGATTTTAGATTTTAATTAAAAAATGTTTATGATCATTAAGCTCCTTTTTCTCTAGTAATTTATTATAAAAGACTACGTAACTTTACCTTTTCCGCCATAGTTGAACTTCAAAACCTCATTAGAAAATGATTATAACAATGAATCATATAGTAATACAATTTGAATTGCTCTTGTTGTTATAGTGGCATCCAATGTTTCTTGGTTAATTATTTCATCAACTAGGCAATATTAACATACATAGACTCTTTGATTAGTACTCGAACTAGCTAACTACTCAATCTTGGAGAAACAAATGAATACAATTTTTTGAAAACGCAGCCTCTAATTAATATACTAACTAACATCACATCAACAGTTAGAGTGTTTTTTTTTTTTTTGGTAAACAAAAGTTTTTGAGTTTCTTAGCTTTAACTACTTTAATTTGCACCATTTCACTTTACTTAATTCTCAAACATTTTAATTAGAGCCCGGCTAAGAGATCTTGTTCCCCGCCTGTTCTCGCCAATACATCAAACCAGAAGTCCATCTCACTATCGAAAATCATCTCATTATTAACGGAGCCTAAGTGTTGAAACTCTTGTTTTATCTCATCTAAACCAGCCACTTCTAGGTCATTCGAGGCATAGTTGTGTTCACTTTGGCTATAAAGTGTCTCGTTCCAGAAGCTCTCATCGATGTCCGCACCAAAATTTTCGAAAGAAACACAATCTTGATCTATAGTACCGTTGTCTCTCGGTTTGTTATCCATATTAATCTCGTTGCTATGTCCTTCGTTGCTTATGAGTGTCATCGAAGAAACCTCACTCGTCGAAGGTGACGCCGAAAACAAGCTTTCACCAGAAGGGTTTGATGAATTAGCTAGCTCCGATTCGCTTCTAGTACTGTTCGAGCTCGTTATTACGGATTCAGATTTTGGTTTAGTACCCTTCTTTTTGTTGCTGGTCTTAGGTTTAGCGGGTTGATAATCTTTGAGTCTCTTCTTCAAGTGAGTGTGCCATACGTTCTTGATCTCGTTATCAGTTCTTCCAGGCAATTTCGCTGCAATCGCTGACCATCTAAAGATGATACCAAAAGGAAAACAAAGAACATCAATACAAAATTTAATTAAAGAGTAGATCATTGCATAATTAAAAGAATAGTAGTGGACCTAGACGTGTGTGTAAAGTTACTTTCTTTTGGTTATTTATGTATAGTAAGAAAACAAAATAAAACTTGAGAAAAAAAAAAAAAAAAAACTTGAGTGTCGGTTATATGTGAAGTAAAATACCTATTGCCAAGGATTTGGTGTAAGCTGATGATAGCATCCTCTTCTTCTTTAGTGAAATTTCCTCGTTTTATATCAGGCTTTAAATAGTTCATCCACCTAAGTCTACAGCTTTTTCCACATCTCAAAAGACCTGTAATTAATGATTACCAATGTTAAAAAAATGTAATCAAATTGAGGAAATTAGACTATGCATGTATATATGTAAGTAATGTGATATTATAATTTTGTACATACCAGCTTGCTTAGGAAGGGCTCGCCAGTTACTATGGCCATGCTTGAGGATAAAAGAGACCAAGATTTGATCTTCTTCAGGCGTCCATGGTCCTCTCTTCAACCCCATCTTCTCACAGCATGGAGCTCTTCCCATCTCTTTTATTATATGTTGTGATTGCTGATAAAATAAAGTTGGGAGTTTTTGTCTTGTGGTGACGATCAAGATATAATGTGGAGATCAAATTCTTATGAGCTTGAGATCAAATGTTGTTGATGAACATATGAGAATGACTGACTAATGGGTTTCAAGTATTTATAGTAAAATTGTCAAAAGACATGTGAGAGAATTCAAAAGCATTGTGAGTTTCTTGGAAATAGGATGTGAGAGAGAGAGAAAGAAAGAGATAGAGAGAGATGTCTTTTTGGTTATTGGCAACATAGTCAAAAGTATGTTTTACATAATATCATATGTCATGTGGGAATGAATGATATGTATGTTTTAGGGACCGCATAAAACCTTATTATAATAATTGGTCTGCATGTATATATAAATGTGTGATGGTGAAATATGTGGTGTAGTGTGATAGTTTACGAGTAAACAAAGTCGTCGGGTAGACGCACGAAGGGCACTAAAATGAGCCCACACGTACATTTTCTTAGAAAAAATAAACGTTTTAGAGATTGTATACGACAAACAAAAAATCAACGTTGGGTGGATTATGTGTTGACCCAAAAAAAAAAAACACTATTCATATATCTGCTCTTAAAATAGTTTTACTTTTCTTATTAAACTTAGACATCTTAGCAATGGTGTTTTATTTAGGTTAACCACATCGGTTTCCAGTGATTATACTCCATATGTCATATGTGTTTATTATGACGCCATGTTTTTTTAGTCCTTGTTTTAAAAACGCTAAATGTCATAAACAAGTTATTGGTCACTATAATTATCAAAAAAAAAAAGTTATTGGTCATTGTGAACGTTTATAATATAAAAATTCATAGATTCTACAAATTATTTTGAGATTCATATAAATATAAAAAGTTTTATAGTCTACTACATATTTCTCAGTCAGAATATTTTTACTGTCAAACAGACGAACAGTTCGATTAATATGTGTATTTAGTTCAATACAACTACCAAAATTTTAATATATAATTAAGAGTAATTTTCAGCATACATTTGCTTATCGGTTCGTGATTTGTTTTTATTTGCATGTGCACTAAAATATTTTTCGTATTCAATTAGAATAGATTTATTTGGTTTAAAAATTATCTTTAATATTATATGTAATCTAGTTATTATAAATGTATTAGATTACTCAATATGTTAATTAATTATTTACTTCAAAATCTAGTTATTACAAATTTACCTGACTAGGCTTTCACAAGTACATGTTAATTTCTTAGTGTAAAATTATGGATATGGTGAACAAAAATGTAATTTTTTTCAACAGTTTTTATATTTCCTTGAGTATTATATTAGCCAGAAAATCCAAAAATAGAACCAAAAAAATCAATATATGTCCGCGCGAAAGAGAACAAGTTGCGATAAATAGCTCGTGCTAGCAAGTTGACCAACGCGTTCACACGTATCGCACCCTTTTAAGGTTCAAACTAAAACTTAACCCTTCTTCTGTATTTTGTTAGTATTTGTTAAAATTGAAGTATTGTTCAAAGTTTCTGGTCAACAAAAGAGGCTTACCTACAGGTTTTAGTTTTACCATATCTATAAATTTACACTAAGAATTAAGCTATCATTATTATTTTATGACCAAATTATAATGATTAAATGATCATTTGTACCTTTTTTTTTTGCTGGTACTAGCTAAATAATTAAAGTACTGTAATATGAAGCATATTGTAGGATCGGTAAACAAGTCTTTAAAGCTTCCCGGATGTACCGGACCGACCGTCGGATAGGCGTGGGGCCCACGGGCTTGAGAGAGGACGTGGATGCTCACTGGTAAGGGTGGTCGGTACGTTACAAATTTATTCGAATATTTCATTTTTTGCCGATAGTTTTGTATTCAACTTTTCTTTTCGAATTTTGCGAGTCTATAAATCCATTCTTCTAAATTATGCAATTTTATATATGCAGATATATTAGCATCACCTTGCTTAATTATCTTCATATTGTTTATCAAAAAATGATATCTCTTCATCAAATATTGTTCTAAAAGGTGTTACTCCTAGCACCTTTCATAAAACTAAAGTTGGTATGTGTTGAAAACAAGTGATACAACTTTCTGATGTGTTCTCAAATATTAAATTCTACTTGGTGCACTAGTGAAGATCATTTGTTTTAAATTTACAATGTTAATAGCCGGTCAACAAAATTCATGCACGAGTATTCGATACATACCAAATACCTTTGTGAATTAGGAACCGACTTTTCTACATATATATATATAAAGGTAAAGAAAACTAACACAAAATAAATACCGCTTTTTCTAATGAGAACGCATGTAGTATTAAATACAGTACCTTGGTGCATTTAGACTATTTCTTGGTTCATAATGCTAATTAATGAATGACCCGAAAAAGTCATATATATTCACATACGTAGGGGATTTTAGTTACCATGATTTCTAAAAACTTCAGCCTTTTCAAACTCAAATCTAAATGCAATTGACTCCAATTCAAGAAGAGCCGGTAAAATTTTGACTTCAGGGAATAAATATTATACCTATAATAAATATAATATAACAAGCATATAGCTGAAGAACAAATTAAAAGTGGTTGCAAAGTTATATTGCCTAATGAATAAATTATTGATAGTATACAGTATTACAATTGGAATAAATAATCATATGAAAGCATGTCATCCTTGACTGACTGTTAAATTTACAAAATAATTAATCAAATATAGATCACTGCATTTAGTTTTAAAGATTTATGATTTTAAACAGCTGGTATGTTCATGTTTTCTCTTAAACTTGCATTCTACATTCTGAGTCTGCAGTGTATACTAATCTTGGAATTGCGTACGTGTACTTATAAACCAGATCATATTCCTAAAATAGCATATAATCGTAGAATTTGATTTTGTAAAAGTAAAAGCTGACTTTTGAAAGAATTAATGATAAGAATGTCAATGTCAACTTCATCAAAAAAAATTCAACATAAATCATTAACGTCTGGTACTGAATTCTAAGAAGTAAAATGATATTATATGGGCATGCAAATTGAAATTCAACAGAAAAATATTTTATTGGGTTTCGAAACGCGTTATATATAGTACAATCGTAAGCACAAAAAAAAAAAAAACTTAAGTCGCAATAGTACGTACGGAGTGAGTGAACAAGATGGGGTTCGGTGCTTTTGTCCTGTCCCCGAAATATGACAAGTATATTATAAAAGCTTTTTTTTTTTTGACAGAGGTATTATTATATAATTTAGAGGACCATTTTCCCACTATTTTTCAGCTTTTTTGGGCTAATTCTTTCAATAGTATTTTTTGAAAGAACATTGGATTTTCTTTTGGAGACTGGTCTTCTTTCTCTCACGGGTCAATAATAGATTTGGTTGCGTAATAGACACTTGTTAAATTAGAATAGAAAAATAAATATTTGTTGTGTTCACACTCTATAGAATAAGGTAATTCTTTTTCTTCTGATCTTTTTTCTGCTGAGTTTATTTATTTATTTTCTTTCTCCAAAATTCAGATCGACTTGATTTTTTTCCTCCCGTGGTGAGTTTATTTGATGGCATGCATGCACTTTAAAAAAATAGTTCATATCTATACAAAAATTAATAAAATAGTCTTTATTTACTACTTTTGCTAAATTCAGATTGATTTGGTAATCTACAACTATGATATGTTTTTTTGTCGTCGTTTACATTCCATATACACATAATAAAACATTGAATACATGCAGATAAATATTACTGACTACTGATACACGAAGACATCACTATTTTTTTTTATTATTTTATAAAAACGACATCACTATTACAAACCATTATGCTTTGATATTTGATAATATCACTAATGTTAATTATTACGATACAAGTTTTGGTTAATGATGTATGTATGACGACTGGTTTACATTTACAGTGGCTATGTAAACGGATATAATAAAAGTGGATTTCTAATTATGGCTAAAATAAGAAATTAAACTGTCTTTTTTAATAGTAAAATTGCCACTTATTCTATGATCAACGTCCAAAGTTTGGTAATAGTAAACGATCGATCAACGTCGTCTACTCTCAGCATTTAGTTCCAAATTATGTGAACTCAAATTTTGAAGACTTGGAATTAATTAGACAATTAATACCTCATCCACATCTATCAAGATTCAAGACTGGACCTACAAAATTCTTACAAGATATATTTAGTTGAACATATGTGTGTGTACAAAATGTCCAAGATTCTTTTCATAATTACAATTGAATTGAGATATTAATTCCTCCGCGTTCTTAACTTCTGTCAATACTTTGACTTCACACATTATATTTCAGTTTGCAATACTTTAGATTTCTGTTATTGAATTGACAATTTTGTTTCAACCAGCGTTTATGGTCTAGATAATCATTTTCAACGATCTTTTTCCTTTTTTAAATGCGGAGACATTTTTATGATAATTCGAGTCTATGTATAGTTTCAGAAACCTAATCTTATGATCCGTATATGTACTGGATTAGAGAATTCCTTAAAATACAACATTTTTAAGTTTTGTTGTCAAATTTATCATTATTAGTTTAGTTTTCTAAAAATACCACCAAAATTTTTGTTTTTCAAAAATGCCATAAACATAAAAATTTATTTTGAAGACTTCTGAATTTAGATTTTTAGATTTAGGCTAACTATTTTAGATTTAGGCTAGTTTATATGAGGTAGGATTTAGTTTTGAAATTGGAAAGTTAAATTTTAATTTTATGGTATTTTGAGATACCAAAACTTAAGTGTGATATTTTTAAGTATTGTCCAATTTATTATGTGTATTTTAGTCGGACAGTTTAGATAACATCGTTTAATAAGAGAGTGATTTTCATTTGAAGTAGTCTAATTAAAATGGTCAAAACGTGTGACAAATACGCTGGATGATTAAGACGCAATAGTTGTATACAGTTGTTGTGAATTAACATCGATCATTTCTAAACTCTATATATGCAAAAAGAAAACTGAAAAAAAAAACGAATATAAGATACTATTTCTGATTGGTACTTTGGTCGACTTAAACACACAACTAAATGGCTAAGTGTCGGTTTAGTATCATAAACCTCCGAATTCGACTTTTCCTAGCTACGATTATTTTATTTAAGTACCCAGTGAATGCC